CTTGCCTCATATATTTAGGGAATATATGAACAAATATTAAATTAAATATATAAAATAAACATTTAATATAATGCTTTACTCAATGTGCAGATTAAAATGCTAGCTGTCGGGAACATTTTTAAAATGTGGTCAGAATTTTTAATTTCTCTCAGTATTTGGAAATGAATTTATAAACTGGTGTTTATATTACACCAGTACTATAGTACATACACGGCACAATACAAAACCATATAACAGTAGAGAAGACTGTGAAGCAGTAAATCAAACTAAAGAGTCTTTCCAGGAAATCATCCATGTGCAGAAATGGCACTTCACAACATGCTTGGATGGCTTAATTCTCTTCTTCACTAGCAATCCCAAATGTCCTGATTCTATCCAGTGGCAGTTGTAATGCTATTAACTTTTTACCTGCTTGTACCAGAAAGTGGCTGGTGTCTAAGAACAATCAGATTTTTGGCAACTAAACTGTTAATGAATAAATGGTACTTTGTGTCAATACAGAAAAATTAAGTACTGTTGCAAATAAATTATTTTGTTTCTCGATACAACTTCAGATATGTGTACACAGTTTTACAGAGTCCACAGATAGTCTGTGCAATACACAATCTCTTGCTTATTTGAAGAGTTACAATGCATGTCATATGTTAAGTGAAGCCTGTCACAGGACTGGTTTTGAAGGGAGATGGAAGGTTGTTCCACAAGTTCTGGCAATATACCAGGAATTGCTTCAGGCTACAGGATTTCAGAATAAGAAAGTCATAAGAGGCTTTCTGTTGGCTGGGGGAGGGAGGAGAGTGAAGAGTCTACTTCTGGAATGTCTATTTAGCAAGTGATTGTACAAGAGACAGAAGACATGTTAAAACAAGAGAAAAAAAATTATTTTTTCGGTCCTTCTAGTTACAGCCAGGTTCCACTTGAAGTTTTGTTGCCAAAAACTGATTTTTTGAGGATGCTGAAACAGGCATATCCATGCACACTGAAATTTACCAATTATACAATCAAAATGTACTTGTACAGTCTCAGACTATAACCCTGAATGTAGACACAAACAAACTAACCATTATCTGGTGAGAAAGCAAAAGTGACCAACTGTAATGCTTTTGTCATACTGAAAAAACTGTGAAACTTATTATGCAGATGTCATTTATCCTGATACCTTAGGAAAGGTGTGAACACCATAAGTCCTGTAGGAGGAAATGGAAAGGACTGAGTCTGTTGAGTGCAGACAGTACCAGTGGGAGAAAACAGCAATATCTACAGTATCTGAGGTTACTAGACAGCATCAGCTGCAAGAAGGAACATAAAGTAATGAATTTAATCTGCAGCCTAGATAAATACCTATCAGAAATTACGTAAGTAGAGACAACTTTGTTGTTAGGAAAACAGAGCAACTAAATGACTATTTAAGTGTCCATCCAGCTTTACTCTGTTACATAGAAAAAATACAGCATTTTCAGAATTAGAAACATTTTTGTTGGATATTAAGCCATCTGAGACAGTACACCAAGCATAATCAGAGACTGCTGCTAAATCCGTGAGAAACAGTCTTTCTCCAAAGTTCCAAATCTTATTAGCAGCTCATGTCAGTGCCTGAAACAGGGTATTAAACTAAATGTCTTTTTTATCTAGTCAATCTGCCCACTCATCAAAAGATGTAACTACTAGTGTAACATACCTCATATCCTACTTGAGCCCAAATATAACTTAAGAACGAAGGGGGCAAAACCCTAACGCATTTGGCAGGAAGAAACTCAGGCATGCATCAGTTGATGCCTTGTATCATTAGCCTCCTTTAACACTCTAAGCACCAAGTTTGTGGCATGGAACTGTTCTTTCTTACTCATGAACTAGAAAAAAAATTAATCTGGAATGAAGAAAGCATTTTAGAGCACATTATTCTGATTTACAAAAGTAATTTTTCAGAGCTACTGAATGAAGAAATGTCCAAGGATAAGGTGGGTCATGATCGTATCAACGATCTATATTGAGGACCATTCCTCAGCAACCCAGCCTTCCACGAACACCCTTCTCAGGGGCTGGAATCCTGACCGATTTTCAGGGACTGAAACATCGAGACTGCTCTGGATCGCAGCGCTTTGCTCGCACGGCAGCTGTTGACAAGATCATTCTACAGCCGCCCGTACTCCCAAGGGAGTCTTGCGAAACGCCGGGAAGGCCGCTGGCTCCTCAGGCCTGCCCAGGACAACACCCCCGCCGCGCCGCCCGCGCAGGCCCGGCCGGGCAAGGGCCAGGAGAAGATTCCAGAGGCCTGGCCGGCTGCGGCCCGGGTAGGGTCCGGCCGTCCTCAGCCGGGCGTCCCGCGGCTGCCGCCCAGAGCTAGAACACACCTTGACGGGACAGCCCTGCGGGGGGCGTCGGGCACGGCCGACGGAGGGGCTGGAGCGATGCGGGGGAGGGGCACCGCTCCCGCAGGGCCCCCGCCGCCGCTCCCACCCCGTGGGTGGAGGAGGAGGGAAGGGCGCGCGGGGGCTGGGGCGGGGCGGGGCGGGGCGGGAGCGTGACCGGGCGCGGGGCCGCGCGTGCGGGACGGCGGCGCGATGGCGCGAGGCGGCTGTGCCGCTATTTAGGGGCAGGGGCCACGGAGCGCAGGCGGCAGTGCCGGGTAAGAGCCGAGGCGTGCGGCCGTGTGCGGGGCTCTCCTTTTCCTCCACCTCCCCCGCCTCCTCTCCCTGAGGGCCGTCCGCCGGCGGGGACTGTGCTGGGCCGTCCTTCTCCTCCGGGCCGTGCGCCCCGGGCGGGGGCAGGGGGGGCGTTCGTTCAGGGCTGACCTGGAGACGGGCCGGGCCGGGCCGGGGCGGGCGGGTGAACGGCAGTCTTGCGCCACTCGGTTCCCGGGCCGATCGCCAGCCGTGCCCCGCGGCGGTGTCTCGTCTCGTCCAGCCTCCCCTCGCCGGCGCCGGCGGAGCTGCCCGGCGGTGACGCTCAGAACGCAACATGGCCTCGCCCGGGGCCGCTCGCTGCGCGGCCCGGGGGTGCCGAGCCCCTCGCGGGGCCGGGACCCTGCGCAGTCCTGCCCCCGGCGTGGCGCGGAGGGTCAGGCTGAAGGTTATCTGCGCTCTTCCCCAGAGCGGTGGTGCTTAGTGCTGCCCGTCCGAGTTGGCAGAGGTGCCGCGACCCTCGCGGGACTCGCGTTTTTCGGCTTTTCGATTGTCACATAAGCGCGGCTGTGCCACCGACACGCATTTCCTTGATGAAGAGATTTGCGTTTTGTCGCCGTCACCGCAAGTGACGGTTCTTGTTGCCTGTAGATGGTAGAAAACTGCTGCCCTGAAAGATACGCACACTTTGTCTTATTGCTGGTCCAAGTACTGGAGGGGATTCCCTGAGGAATTAGGGAGAAGCGGGTACAGTGGCCGCCTAGTTACTTCCCATGTGGTCCTGGGTGCCAGTCGTCCCTGTAGTGGGGCTCTGATGCTTTCCCTAAAAAAATCGGCATCATTTTCATCTCTCGGATGATGAAACTGAGGCACAAAGGAAAGCAGGCTGCCAAGTGTTTTGGCAGGACTGAGGGGAATATTTCCCAGTCTCAGTTTTCGTGCTTGTTTTAGGCTGACTAGGGGTTTGCCAGCTGGTGGCTGCTTGTTACTGCTGAGGCATTCTGAAGGCATAGTTCTACACATAGTTGTAGTTCTACTACCAGGTAGCAGAACTGTGTGGGATTATAGGTCTGTCGTTAGTGATCCGTTCTGTCACAGAGGGGCAGAGAGAGAAAGGGAAACCACAACCTTCCCAAGAAATTGGATACTATTGGGAGTTAAGGTATTTTTTCTTACACCCTCTTTTCTATAGAAATATAACATTTATGCTTCCTACATGCTGTTACTTTCAGAGGCATGTAGAATATACTGTTCAAAGCGTGTAACTTCTGAACAGATTATCTATATGTTGGTGTAGCAAAATAAGAATGTAAGTGTGGATGATGAAAACTTGAGATAACTTCCTAGAAGTTGAGCATTCGAAGTAATTGTTTGGATGTTGTTTATGTGTCTGGAAATGTAGTGCTTCAAGTAAAGTCAATAGATAAATATTTTTGGCGGAGGAGAAAGATAGATAGATATGCACATCTATAAGTGAGTACACCAAATGGAGATACTGTTCCCATGCTGCTTGTCTGAAGAATTAGCATTCACACAGTTATGTGAAATTAAATAGCCTTTTTGGCCATTTTTTTAATCAATTATTCTTGTATTAGCAAGAACTGTCTAGATTAGAGAAGCAGCACTGTTTGTGATCAGTGTGGAAGGTTTGATTTCAAAATGCAAACACTGAGTGCAAAGACATTACTGTGTGTGAATTAATTAGATTTTAGAACTAAAACTACTTGATAGATGTTAGAAAATTCTGAATTATTCCAGAGAAATTGATTTACAGTTTTAAGAAGGTACCAGAAAGCACTCAGTTATTGCAAGCAAATATTTGGTGCCTCTTGTTAGGTATTTCAGTAATTTTAAACTTTGTACCTGTTTTGTTTTCTTTTTTTTGTGTATATGTTTTGTTCTGAGGGCACTATCAAAACTACAAGGATAAGCCTCCTTCTAGAGGCAGAGGAATAAGTATACAGTAGAGAAATGACTTTGTTAGATGGTGAAACATTACATTAATGTTGCATATAACATAATGTTCTGTTCATAGAACATTGCATATTTTCAAGTGCTTCTCTTAGAAGTGTCTCGTGTTTTTTGAGTCTCATAAATATTTCCAAGAAGGAAGTAAGCTTGGAGGAAGGAAGGAAGCTTAGAGATGAAATACGCTTAATTAGAAAGCAGTTAGGGTTTGAGTAATCAAAATTCCTTGAGGATAGTTACAGCTTTTAGATGGCTTTAAGTACAGTCTGGCTTGTTATAAAACCTCAAGCAGCAGCTGCTTTGTGAAGCATCCCTGGTTCTGTCTGCCTGAGCTATGTGGACTCCTAGTGACAGATTACCTCTTGAAGCTGTAAACATAGGTCTTCTTTTTTTTTTTTTTTTTTTTTTTTGAGGAATTTCTGGAAATCCATTTTCCCGCAACCTTTGGTCTCTTGTGATTGATGTGATAATGAGCGTTAATAGACTGAACACCTTCCTGTGGTGGTTGTGGTGTTATCTATACTTCCTGACTTCCAAGCTGGCTTTGTTGGCAAGTACATATTATTTTAGCTATACTTTTTTAAACTGACATGGTGATTTGTAGGTCACTTGGACAGGAATTGCGACTTCTCTGAAATGGAGAGATAACCCTTTATATAATGGCATATCCCTGTGTTCATTTTGGGCCAGGTCTCATGATTTATGAATTAAGATGAATTTTTAAGATTTCTCTCTTGCTCAGAATAAGTAGTGATACCTGTTTTACATGAAAGCCTGATACTTCTTCAGAAACTATTGGCCACAGGCTGATTTTAAAACTGCTACTTTGTGCATATAAGGTGTGATTTTTAGGGTTGTTATTAGCTTTTCATAGGCACTGCATGAAGCATCAATTTATGGATCAGACATAAAGACTTAGTGCTTTCCTTTCAAAATGGCTGCAGGATGTGAAGAATAATAGAAGTCCCATTTGATTTGGATATTAAATGGGATGATCTCATGGCATATGAGTTTTGTAAGTCTGTCTTTACAGAAACAATCAGAGCATTTTAACTTATTTTTTTCCTCTTTGAGTTAATTTATTTTCTGTGAGCTAAGGACTGTCACCAGCAGCATTCTAAATTGACCCTGTTGGTTTTACTCAGTAGTATTTCGATGGATTTTGGTCTTTGGCCACTAAACCATGAAAACAACCTGGCAAACTTCTGAAGTCAGTTTCTTTCTCTGTCTCCTTTGCCTCTTCACATAGTGATCCACAACAATTGTATAGTATAAAATGTTGGTTTGGCTATTTGGTTTTGTTTTTAATAGAAAGCATCGGAACTGGCCAGCTGTTTCAGTGTTCATTCAGCGTTGGATTCACCTTAGATATGTGTATATATATCACCTTTCACCTTAGATATGTGTATATATATATATATATGCTGTACCAGTCAGTAAAACATAAAACTTGGGTTAAGCTGTGCATAGTGACTGAAAAAAATTTAGTTTTCTGTTGTTTAGACTAACAGCTTAGTCTGACTTAAAATTGTGAATTGTGTACGATTAGTGTTCAGCATTACTGTTAAATGATGGCACTATCTTTTGAGGTTCAATGTAGCTTATATGCAGGGTTTCTGCACTGTCTTCGCCTGAGCATTTTTACACACTCAGATAAGAAAATGCCAGTTTGCATAGAAGTATTTTCCTCATTCTAATATATTCATATATATTATGGCTCCTTGTTTTGTTAGTTTTAAGTCCCACCATTTATTTTGGGTTTTTTTCATTTCCTTTATGGTTTTGAGGTAGACAGGATGGATGGAAGTGTCTAGTGTAACTCTGGATCTTTCCTCTAGAACTAAATTTCAATTAAGTATCAGTCTTGTAAAAGCCAGAGACACTAATGTTTTTAAAAACAGCCCACATTAGAAGGGATTGTAATAGCCCCTTTGTGGGTTTAGAGGTGTGTAGCTTCAGTCTTCTTCAAACTGCATTGATCAGTGGGGTGGGGCTAAGTAAAGTACATCAGAACAGCCTAAAGCAGATATGTGCTGAATCGTGGCTTTGGCACTGTAGTTTCAGCTGCTTGGTTCCCATACTGGAGGTGGGTGGCTTTCCACTTAACTCTCCTTTGCAGGTGATGGAGCATGAAGCTCCATTCTCTTGCCTTTCAGGAGCTGACTGCAGCTCCTGAAACGTATGGTTTGTGGAGGGCTTATCTGCTCCCTCAAAACAACTGCTAAACTTTCCAGAGGGCAAAGTAGTAGAGATTTGAACTTCAGTCTCTTACATGTGAATTAATCTGCTTGGAACAACTGAAATGTTGTTTTTCAAGTCTGGAAGACAGTTGAATACAGAAATGGCTTTTATATGAAAAGATAGTAATTTAAGTTTAATTTCCAGTGAAAAAAATAATACTTTAGGACAAAAATGTGTGATAATTATGTATTACTGTTTACTTATTAAGTTGGTTATTGCTTTTTATTTATTTATTCTTGCAGTTGCTTTGCAGTATGTTGTTAATAACCTGAGCCACACTTAACTGCTGGTGTGAAAATAAGTGAATAGTTTTGTGGGAATATTGTTTGACTTTAATAAATAATGACCCGAAAGAAAGCCAGTAACTTTGTAATGTTGTAATAGCTCAGGTGACCCTGCCGTTATTTTCAGGTAGCATGAATCATGATGCAAATGGAAGAGTTTTTAAAAACTTTCCTTTTTACATCTGTTTCATTCTTTCCCCTTCAGTGTGAAAGGTGCTTCTGCTGTTGTTTTGCATCTTTTGGCAATTAGCAGTGAAGCAGAGCTCCTGCTTCTTTCCACCTAGCTTGTAGTTGCCCTCAGGCTTCTGATGAATTTCAGATCTTCTGCAACTCAGATTGTTCCAGTTAAATAATTTAAATTAATCTTGCTTGAAATAACAGATCCTAAGGTCTATCTGTAGTAGAGCTCAATAGGCTTTGGTTAACAAGAAGTACTCTGGTAAGTGTTAGCACAAGTCTAGTCATTAAAGTAGATACCTATAGGCTGATATTATTTGGTGATTTAAACTAAAAGAGAATACTCTTTAGAATTTGGTTGTATTCACCATGCAAATTTATAAAGATTTGCTAAACTGGTTGGATTTTTTTTTTTTTTTTTTTAATTCAGAAATTTATGTGTGGGTAGAAACCTTATTTTTCAGATATTGGACACTGTGCTTCCAAACTAAGCAAGAATCAATTGATGTAGTTATTTCACTGTACCCTTGTAATAAATATCCAAATACACATTGCATTTAAAGCAGTATAGTGATTCTTATATCCAGCCCAGTGAGCGTACTCAAGCAGAACATAGAAAAAATTAATAGCTTTTTGTTTCTCAATGCCATATAGCTACAGTCTGATGACAAACAACTTGTTATTTAGTCAAAAAATGAACTAACAAACTTCCAGTGACAAACAAATGCTTGTTAATATATTTGTCAAGTCTTTCAATCAGCAATGTTTATATGTTTAAAGTTTCTATATAGGAAGTTTTGGTGGGGTTTGAGTAATGAACTCACAAGTATAGAAGCAAATAAAGACACTGCTGGGTGATTCTGATGGCTTTTATTTTAGTTGTAACTGAAAGACATCTAGGTTGGCAAACCCTACAAAGATTCTGCTATAAGTGTTTGAGATCTGCTTTCATTTAGTTGTTCCTGTGAGTAGAGATTTTCTTTAATTACACTGTTTATCTTGATTTGTAAAGAAAAAATGGCTTAGTTGTGTTGATGTGTAAGGAATGAGGTTCTGGCTTGGGGGTGATCCAAGCTTAAGTGTGTCTACTTTTACTTATATACAGATGTGTGAAATACCTTGTGTCTATCACTTTTATGAAGTAAATTACATGCAATCAAAGCAAAGGGATGTTTGCTGTGATAAACTGCAGTTTCTTCTAATAATAGTGAGTGGAGCTGATTAATTTTCCTGACTAGGGAATACTGTGGAATTCCCTTAAAATTTTTAGGGAGCTTCCTTTTATGGGGTAAAGCTCAGAATACTAGTTTCTAAAGAAGCTCTGTCAGGTTAGTGGAAAATAAAACTTAAACAATGTTGCTGTAGGCTATCTTCTCAAATCTTAGTAAACCTAAAGAGTCTGTGTTAAGTTTCTAGATGTAAGAATAGCCTGAAGTCTGCTTCTAGAAATCAGCTTGTGAACTAATGCCTTATTTCACTAAGCCAATCTACCTGTTCCTGTAAAGATACCTAAATGTAGCTAAAAATAATATAGCTCATATGCTTAATAGAGAGTGGTCACTTGCTTTTGGTAGTTTAGGGCTGCTTTAAAACTATAAATTGAGAAAACCAGAACACACTTAGTGGCTTCCTAACCATGAGGGTGGAAGCTACTGTGTGAAGGCTTCAGTATCTCTAAAGTTTTTTCTAGAAATGTCAAAACTTGAGAACGAGTGGGCTCTGTTGCAATACAGAAATAAATACAGTGTTATAAAATCTACTCCAGCTTTTGGGGAATTACAAGCTCCCTTGTAAAGTTTTGAAGTCTTAGTGCTTTTTCTACAGTAGACAGCAGTTCTTAATATGGAAGCATTGTGCTCTGTAATTCCTGAGTGTATTTTTAAGTCACTCTTGTGAATGAGACACGTGGTTTTGCGGTGAGTTGTTCTGAACCTTGTCTGAAGATTTTGTATCAGTGCCCTTGAAAGTTAGGTGAGTATGAAAACCATAATCAAATTTATAGGGTTATATTTTAAAATCTGAACCACATTGTTATACCCTGTGCTCTAATGGAACCTCCTACAGAGTTACTAGTGAAGTTTGTTTTCATATATAGTGTGAAAACCTAAAGCTGATACATTTCTTAAACTTTTAATTACATCAGCTTTAAACAGCCTTAGGTTTTTTAAGTAAACATTTGATTTTGTTTTAGCAGTGAAGAAAATGGAAACAATTTGCCCATGAGAAGATACAAACACTTCCAGGAAAATAAATGTGTGTATGTGAGAAATTATCTTAGAGCAAATACAAATCTGATTTTCACATTGATCTAAAGTAAAGAGTAATAGTTTAAATTTAAAAATAAATATCTTTCTCTTGTTACAGAAATTCTGTGCAGCATGTTTTCTAGGTGGAACTGGGTGGCCTGTGGCTTCTGTCTGATGTTGAATATTTGTTCTCCTGATGGTAAGAGTTCTGTGTCTCAAATACAAGAGGATATGGAACTAGTTACATCGAATGTTTGAAGCACCTGCTTGCTTTTTGTCTAGATATTTGTTGGATGGGGACAGAAAGTAAGGTGTGTTAGGGTAGACACGCCTAGTCTTCTAACGCTAGTTCGCCACTACACAGGTGCAAATTTACCCCCATTTTCCTATGGTAACTTTCTTAATAGAAAATACTTTTTCATCAAAAGAGTAACCTCAAGTATAACTTCCTTCTTCAAAAGATATAAACACGCAACCCTTGACTCTCCTCTCTCTGTGTGCCTCTATTTATTAATAGAGCTTTCCTAGCTTGGTGAAATGCTTTTGCAAAGCATAAAGAGCACTATGCTGGTTTCTGCCCTTAAATCTTCATATTGGTTTACTAATGCATTTCAGTTTTATTATTGTGAGGTAACTACTTAACTTGCGGCTTAGACAAATGTAGTGTTTTTAACATTGCACTAGTGATGTATCAGCAGTATTGGTTAGGCAATGTTTTGTAGTTCTCAATAAATGTGAAATTTGTTTTCCTTTTAGCTTCAGGTGGACTTGTGCAGTCATGTGGTCACATCATCCCGGAGTCACCTGTACTGGCCCTTGGTTCCAATTTCACAGCATTATGCATTCTGAATGAGAGTTGTCTTGACTTTGGCAATATCTATGCCAGTCAGATTATCTGGAAGATTAAAAATAGACTGGTACCTAAAGAACAGTATCGTGAAATAAACAGAACAGTTTCCAGTGTCACATTCAATGACACTTCTTCACTAGCTACTCCTCTGACATGCAACATTTTAGCAGATGGACAGATTGAACAGAACATTTATGGAATTACAGTTACAGTAGGCTGTGAGTACCATTTTTTTTACATTTTATTCTGGTGTTAACAAAATTGTTTCAGAGAAATGGGAAAAAATAGAAAGTGTGCATATCTTTAGGCACTTAATTTTTATTCCCTCAGTTCCTGGATAATTGAGTAAAAATATTGTCAAAATGCCACCACAGCTGCTCAATATGCACTGAAGAAAGTTTTCTAAAGAGTCGAAAATACTCTGGAATATTTCAGTGTTGAAATAGTAAAAAAATGGAATAACAAAAAGCGGCAGATTTGAATTGTAGAATAAAGATGTGGATTTAACTGAAATAGGATGTAGGAAATTAACTTCTTGATTCTATATCAGAGTTGGAGGAAATACTTTTAGGTGACGTGTCCTGGTTTCATACTAACATTTTGAAAATATTTTCTTAATTAATGGACTGAGAAACATTTAGTGCATCTGTATCACTAAGGCTAACCTGAGTTGCATTAAGGATGGAACATATTATTTGGATGCCTTTACCTCTATACCAAAGAAAATACATTTAACTACTTATCAACTTCATTTATTCTAGAATGATAGCATTTGCATGGTTCAGACCAAGTGCTTTTAGACAAGACTGTCTTGAGAAAGTCACATGAATAAATACAACTTCTTAATTACTTGGTGTCCTGCTAATAGGACAGGTGTTGTAGTGTCCTAAATATGATATGGCTGATGAATTATGTTGTCTCCTAGTGCCGGTAAAAGGTACTGCACTTGTGAATGGTCTGCATGCAAAAGGCATGCTTGAGTTCACAATTTAAAATGATATGCTTCTAGCATGACTTACAAAACGCTGTCACAGAAAAGTGATGTTTTCCATTTTAATTTCTGAGGAGTAACTTTTTATTTTATCTTTTCTGGTACAATATTATTTTTTAAAGGTAGAATACATGGAAAGGTGAGGATAGATAAATTATTCTAAGATTATAAATGTAATGACAGTGCAGATGGCATTCCACGTTTGTAATTCATGTTACAAGTCTTGACATGCATATTTTTATTTAAAGCTATTGTGTTTTGATACAATTAAAGAAAACTAGATCATGAGACTAGCAACAGGTTTGAGAAGAATACAATTATTCATTAAGAAAGCAATAAGGTTCATAAGGTTGTTCTATTGAAACTAGCATTCTGCTTGAAAGCAAATAAAATTCTCCAAGTACATTATACTGTTGTAAATAGTGATAATATAGGAGGTAGAAACAAACTCGTGTGTTATAATTTGAGTTTAAGAGGGAAAGAAAATAGTTTTGCTGCATTCTGAAGAAGTTCCTTACACACTACAGTGCATGGATGAAGGTCTCTAAGCTTTCTTGCATGGGTTTGCAGCTCAAGCTTCTTCCATACCTCAGCTGGGGGAGAACAGACCTATCAAATTACTTATAGACTGGCAAAGTCACTATGTGCCAATTCAGTAGTGGTTATTAATTTATTTTTCTTCTGTGTGAACTAAAATATATTTAGATGAGAGATGGTTAATACAAGATTTTCTGCTTCAGAATGAAAAGTCTTTGTTGTTCCTTACTAGCAGGTGCTTAATCCTTATACAGCCTACTGTTTGTCAAAGCAGCTATTTAAACTTCTTTACTTTGGTTGCAGCGTGGTATCCAGCACTTTTTGCCACATCCTTTAGAGAAGAATTAAATACTTCTGATGTTCACAGAAATCATTCTAGTGGGATGCTTAAAAGGATTCCTGCTGGATTAGAATGTATTTGTAGATTAATTATTGCTCTTTCTGTACAGTGGCTCCAGAGAAGCCCAAGAACTTAAGTTGCATTGTACATCAGGTATCAAGATTCACATATGTCATGACTTGTACCTGGAACCCTGGGAGGCATACGTTCCTGGATACTCAGTTCAGGTTGAAATACAAATGGTAAGTAGTGCATTATAAAATATCTATATAATTCTGAAGAATATTTTATGCTAAGCCAGCAGTCCTTGAAATTTCTGATTCTTTGGAAGAGTCCAGTAAGTAAGTCTAGTTTTCTGAAGTGCTGCTGTCTGTCTGGTATGAGGGGAAAGGGAAGAGTTAAAGAAGTAATTCTAAGTCAGATGTGAAGTTTTGTTGCTGAACTTCTTTTTGGAGTAACAGTAATCTCATATTTTTCTATTCAGGTTGAGATACAGATGGTAAGTAGCACTCTATAGAATATCTAAATAATTCTGAAGAATATTTTATGCTAAACCAGCAGTTCTTGAAATTCCTGATTCTTTGGAAGAATCCAGTAAGTAAGTCCAGTTTTCTGAAGTGTTGCTGTCTGTCTGTCTGGTATGAGGGGAAAGGGAAGACTTAAAGAAATTGGCATTCAAGTAATTCTAAGTCAGACGTGAAGTTTTGTTGCTGAACTTGTTTTGGAGTAACAGTAATCTCATATTTTTCCATTTTTCAAATACATGATTAGTGTGGATTGAGTACAGTACATCTCATAATAGGGGGCTGTACCCAAACTCTTACACTTGTCTGGGTTGACAGTTCTATCCCATTCTAAACAAGCACAAGATGTCTCTCTTCATTGCAGGAGGATCAGACTATGTGAATTTTAAAGGTCCATTTCAATCCAAATCATTCTATGATTCTAAGTAGAGAAGTTAACATAAAATGACTGAGATTTGTAAAGTTATTATCTGCAGTTCCCAGGGACTGTTGACAAACACTATTCTGAGTTAATCCTAACATGAAAGCTTCAGCAAAGTATTTCTCCTGTGAAAGCAAATTAAGTTGCTTTCCAAGCTCTTTAGATTGCCTCTCGTAAAATGGAGTTTTTTAGATGGCCTGTCAGTTTAAAATTGAGTGAACAGGATTGTTGCATTCCTCTGAAAATAGGAATGATTGTGGACAGCTTTCCAGCTACCCCATTCTGCTGAAGTGTTTTGGTAACAGGTGTAGTAGAAAGTATGCACAGATAGAAAATGCTAATGCCTTGCAAATTTCCTGATGCCCCTAGAACTCTCTAGTGTTAGTGTAGCAGAAGATGGTGAACAGAAAGTATGTATTACACCTCTAACTGTACTCTTGAAAGATACACGAATAGCACTGACTGCATTGTTTAAGGCATTCTAGTTACTGGCCATATTGCTTTTGATTAATTTTGTATCAGTTCTTGTTCGTCTTTTCTTCTTTAAGCCAAGTCAGGTTTTTATACAAAATTATTTGCAGTGCTCTAGCTTGTGCTTTTGAAGATACATGACTGGAAGTCAAGAGATTTTGTTTCGGTTTCAGTTCTAAAGCAATCATGCATTTGCGGCTGAACAAGCCATTCCCACTTTTTCTTCCCCTTCCTCTGCTTACAAAGCTAAGGCAGAGGGGAAACATACAAGATAAACTGACTGCTCACTCTGATCTACTTTAAAATATTCTCTAAAGAAACCAAACTTACTGCTTTGACTCTTGTTTTTTCTTTCTCTTTTATTTAGGCCAGAAGAGATCTTTCCTGACTGTATACCAAAAGATGTAAACAATTCTTGCACCATTACTGATACTCAGTTCTTCGTTAATACGGAGATCTGGGTGGAAGCAACAAATGCACTTGGGAAGGCTGAATCTGATCATCTTGTTGTCGATCCCATTGACATTGGTAACTATATGCCCCTTAAAGCTTTAATGGAACATAACTGCTGCTTCTGTGTGTGTTGCTTAACTAGTATGTTAATGTTTCTTCACTACAAAAATTTTCACTACATAAGTGTTGTTGACTAGAGCTTGAACTGTGCTGTGCAAAGGTAAGGATGGTGAGAGATTTCATCACAATTCAGATAGCAAGTTTGTGTTGAGTAGTCTTATTCAGAAGATAGTGTAAAGTAGCAGCCATTTCACATCCTGAAAGACTTTAATAGTAGTGCTGCAATATAGTATACCAGCTTCTAAAGGTATGGTAAAGTACAGCTGTGGAGTTAACTTTAATTTCTTCTCTTTTAGTTAAGCCACTGTCTCCACAGAATGTATCAATCACCTCAGGACTACTACCTACTGTTCTGCAGCTTTGCTGGGAGAATTGGATTTCATATGCTGTGATGACGCTGAAATTCAATATTCGCTACAAAATTGTTGGCGACACAAACTGGGTGGAGGTAATACTGCTAATGTCCCTTGCCATGATTCTGCTGTAATCCAGCCATCTGTCAAACTGGAGTTCCCCCTGTTGCACTTCAGAGCATTCAGTTTCATTTCATTATGTCTTACATGGCCACCCAAGGAAGTTTATCTGGCCTGTTCATGGAGGCTGTGATTTAGGTATTTTTTGGCACAGTCTGAGTATGGGGACCTTTTTGTATCTTCGTGGACTTTTCTGCTGTCTTCCCTGTCACAGTGCAGTATGTTTATTTTAAATTTTATTTTGCACAACGTAGAGAACATTAATGAATTTTCATCTTCCCATGTGCGTGCAAAATGAATGATCTAAATGTCATTCAAAACTTGGATAAATACTGTATCATGCTGAAAAGCTTTTTAGAACTTAGTCTACCTGCAGCTGGGCTACAAAAGGTCCAGGCAGGGCCACAGGCTGGGTCAGAGTGGCTGGAAAGCTGCCCAGTGGAAAAGGACCTGGCAGTGCTGGTGACAGCAGCTGAACATAAGCCAGGGTGTGCCCAGGTGGCCAAGAAGTCCAGTGACATCCTGGCCTGGATCAACAGTAGTGTGGCCAGCAGGACCAGTGATTTGTCCACCTTTATTTGTGACTGGTGAAGCCACACCTTGAATCCTGTCCTGTATACATGCCTCAAGTGTGAGGCAGTCAAGAACAGGAAAAGTGTAAGGAGTAAGCCCTACCTGTAACATAATATATGTTCCCATCATCAAGAGCTGTGGGTTTTTTTTTTTTCTTTATGCATCAATCTGTCAACATATTTTTAATAGCTCCTCAGTTTTTCCTTACTTTAAGCCTTCTCTCAGAGCAGTAGTGGGCCAAATGTATTCTCCAGCAGAGGCCCAAATGTATTCTGAATTCTTTGAGTTCTTGGAAGACTGCTTTTGATTTTACCAAAATACTCTCTTTGGAGCAGGTAGCCTAACACAGCTCCTTGTAACTAATGTGGCTTTAGATGCAGAAACTATTTATTAAGGTCACCTGTAATGATGTTTTAAAAAGCACTGGCCTGCACAATCTAGTCTGCAAGTCCAGGATCGTGTCTAAGTTGTCCTGATAGGACAGTAGGACACGTTCTTCTAACTTGTCTTACCCTTTTAATATATGCACAGAACAAATGAAATAGTAGCTTTTAAGTCAGCTGAACTTGCTTAGCTGTGTTAAAATTGGACTATTTTGATAATTCTTTGCCCTCAGGATTAACCTCTTAAGTGTCCTGCATTTGTGTTTAATCTGTAGTCATTCCTTGCAGGCATCCTCATTGTAAAAAGCCCTTAGTTATAAGTGGAATAATGTGAAGAGTCAGTTACCTACTTGTTATCTGCTTGTGTCCATTATCTACTCCACCCTGCTTCCCTACATACATACTAAGAATACTTTTCGGCATTTGGTTGCTCACCTAAGATAAAAGAGTATGAAAATAATTTATTAACAAAACTATAAACTATTGTAAAACTATTTTCAGTTTCACTCAAGAAGTACTGTTCTGGATCAGTGGAAGCAATGATCCTGGACTTTTAACTTCTAGTAACCAATAATTTTGCAATCAATAATCAAGCAGGTCACCTAGCAGAGTTCTGAATTGTGAGGCAGGGTATTACAGATCAGTAAGCAGCAGAATTATGTGGAAAGGAAGGAGAGAGATGTAAGCTAATTTTCAAAAAAAAGATAATGAGATTGTCCTGAGGTAGCTGCCTAACTGTTCTAGTGTATGTATGTTCTTATACCTGGTAAAGACACAACTCTGACTGAACAATGTTTGAGAATTGTAGTTTTTGGAAATGAGAGGGAAGGAAAGCTTGTTTGTGGTGTGTGTTGTGGTGGGGAGCCTTCTTGGATGACAGCTGAAGTAGCACAGAACTCAGCTCTACAGTACTTTGATCACTGCTTTTAAAATATTTGTCACATTTGCAGGTTCCTCCTGAAGATACAGCTTCCCCAAGAACTTCATTCAGTGTTCAAGGTCTCAGACCCTACACAGAGTATGTCTTTTCCATTCGTTGCATGAAGGAAGATGGAGCGGGCTACTGGAGTGACTGGAGTGAAGAAAAGACCGGGATTACCACTGAAGATTGTAAGTAGTGTATAAAAGTAGGTGACTTCTCAAGTGTGAGTGCTCTGCAATTTGGCAATGGCCAGCTGAAATGGTGTATCCTTGCCTGAGCTGCTTGCTTGTATAAGCAACAAAGCTCTCCTGAGTTACTTTCAGCACTGACTGACTTGATCCATGCATTCCAAGGAGCCTAAGACCAGCTTCCTGTTAAGCTAGTGTGGAGGAACTCCCTGAAAACAGCTAGAACAGCAGCAGGGGAGAAGAGCCTTCTCCACAGAAAACTGTATTCTCAATGTCTTCTGGAAGAAATCTAGGCTTTATGCTTGTTTTTTTTTATTCTAAAGGTTATTCTCTGTAACAGAAGTTATCCTACTTAGAAAATGTTTTCTTAGTACACCAACTGCCTTAGTTTGTGAACAACTTGATGTTTAGGAGGCTAGTAAAAGCCATAGGTGAACGATCATCACCTCTGATGACTGAGAAACAGAAGATCATACAGGATGCATAGATTTCTTCACAAACTTAATAAAGGAATAATATAAAATAATGTGCATGTGGTAAGTGTAGCTAGCCTCTTATGCACTGAAGCATCCAAATAACATCTTTTAAGTTTCAACAAAGTATTCATTTTCATTTCTTTTCCACTTCGGTAGCCTGCAAGGTTGGCTTTGTTTCTGGCTTGTGCTGATGCTACCCCATAGAGAACCAGTGTTGTGTACTTAATACTCAGTAGGGAATCTATTCTTATATCCAATTGCTATAAATAATTTGTAATTGCTATTTAGCTTCAGTGTCAAGCTGATTGGTATTTTTCTGGTTTTTAAATATGCTTTAGATTTTCCTACTTGCACCTTTATAATCTTGCTTCTGTAATACGCTATATGTCCCATAGAATCTTCCAAGGTGTGTCTTTTCTGAGCAGTCTGTTCACTGCAGCATTTCAGTGCACATCAAGTTAAACCAATACAAGTTCCATTATTAAAACAGATTGTAAATCCTTCTTTTTTTTTTATCCTGATTGAGTTCATTTGTCATCTTAGATAAGAAATAAGAGGGGTTATTTTAGTTTTAAAATAAGTGGAATTTATATCCATGATTGCATTGCTTCAGTTCCTTGCAAAATTTACTTTCTCTGAGGGAGATACTGTAAAATGTCAATATTCTAGTCTCTGCTTTTCAACTTCTAATGATAGTATGACTTCATTTTCTGTGTTTCCTATCTCAAGCTGAGCAATGATGATTTCAGGACTGCCTGCCTATTTAGAGTGCATTGCTGTTCTGCTGTGGTGACTGGCTTTGCAAAAATACTGCTAATATTGATTACGTACCCGTGTCTTACTTTAGCCTCAGAACAAAAGTTTTACAGTAGCAAATGAACATCAGGCAGGTCATGTTAGATTCATTATCTCTATTAGGCAAGATGTGCAATTGCTTCTCTTTAACGTGAATCAAATTTGGATTCTCAAATGAGTAAAAGGGCTCCCTTTGCCTCAATTTGTAGTTATCTCTCACAGTGTAAAGCATAAAAGATGAGATGCATGCTGTACACTTGGTACTGAGGGGTGTTTGAGGTTAAAAGCCAAAACCTCATAATACACTAAATGCTATGAAGGAATTCTGAGAAAAAATAGTCTTAAAAGATTAAAGATGTAATTCATTTTGAGATAAACTTTCTCTTGGGACTAAGACCTTCACAAAAGATTGGCCACTTCTTACTGCTTTGTGCAGTGTAGTATTGGTTGGTTCATTTTACTTTGAAGTGGAATTTGTTGTGGGAGTACCACCTTTTCATAGTACAGATGCCAAAACGTACTGTAGTATTGTACAAAAGTACTGCAGTTCTGTTATGCTTTTAGAATCAAAGTCTTACTGCCAGGAGAAATTTGTCTCCTTGTTAACTCTTGTGCACTTTCCTTTTTTCAGGTAACTTGATATTGAGGGGTAGGAGCAGTGTTGGTTGCAGACGAGCAAGGTTCGCAGGGTGCAGGTGTGCAGGGCTGTGCCTCTGGATGCAGGCTGCACAGTGTAGGTGTGATCATGCCTCACTCAGCATTGTCACCTTTAGTCTAATCTTGCAGATGCCCACCATTGTGACTCGTCCTTCTTTTGATACTGTACACTTAAAGCAGAACTAGTGTCTTGCTCATCTCTTCAGGAAATGTTCCACTTAATATGCCAATATTATTTTCATTGAGAAAGCAAGAAATGCTTTTTAATATGCTTTTATTTTTTTAAAGAAAGCAAGCATATAGTGACAACACAAGGATGAATTCAAACAGATTAAATAAAAATTATTCTACTCTGAAGCATTGTTTGTTTCATCAGTGCCATCTAAAGGACCACCCGTATGGAGGATCATTGATACATCTCACTCACCAGCTTTCTGGACTGTGCATCTAGTATGGAAGGTAAAGCAAATTGAAAAAATGGAGAATTCTTTTAAAAACAGGAGGTTTTAAGTGGAAAAATCTACCCAATAGCCTTGAGAGATGACTGGGATAGTATAGGGTTTTTTAATATGAAAAGTGGCTTTATGTATTCTTGTGGTAATACTTAGGAAAAATGAAATATGCAGATGTAAAGGCCATCATTTGACTGACACTCATCTGTGACCTAAAATACCCAGAATATACTCATATTCCTCATTTGTTGTCCTGTGGATTTGGAACTGCCACTCGAACAAAGCGTAGCTTCATGTCGTGTCTTCTGCTGTAACCTAAAACGTGGCAACACTGTCTGGACAGTGATACCCCAGCTGCAAAATCCATTAAGCCTTGAGATACTGCAGAGGCCAAGATTATTAAAAACAGCTCTGTGCATTTGTGTGCAGTAAGGCTGCTGTGTCCAACTGGATGATTAGTCCAGCTGAGAAGGGGAATGTAATTATGGTCGCTCCCCAAACCCTGCTTTCTTTTGGTCCATGAACTGTGTCATATTTGTCATATTAACACAACCAAAGGTGAGATTCCTATTATGTAATTGTGTTGTAAAGTCACGTAAAACGGAGGTTTTATCAACTTTTGCAATCCTTACAGAATAGCTTTTATTAAACCACTAGGTATGATCAAAGAAAAAGAGTATTTAAAGAAGAAATAGGCTTTGAAAGTGACTGTTTTATAGAAATATGTGCGTTGCGATCCTTATCACAGGAAATGCGCACAGATTATTTATATTTTTCTTAAATGTACAGGTATTTAATCTATGGAACTTGCTTTGTTCTCATATTTTTTAATTGTACCATAAGGACAGTAAAGGTTACATCGCATTTGTTAATTATCAACTTAATCAAAGATGTGTTTCTGACAGGCACTGAAGCCATTTGAAGCCAATGGAGTAATCTTGCAATATGAATTGACTGTCAGAGATAAATCATCTCTTTCCAGTCCAGTGAAGAAATGCAATGTTACCAGCACCAACCATACCTTACAGCTGCGGGAAGGAACTTATGAAGTGACTCTGATTGCCCGTAACAGTGTTGGGGCTTCTCCTCCATCAGTTTTACTTATCCCAGCGAGTAATTCAAAAGGTGGGTGTCCTAGTAATGGCTCTGTCAAGTAAATCTGCATGGCCCTTTTTATAAGAAATCTTCAGTGTTGTCACGTAATACCTTTTACATGGGCACATAATTAAAGTATTACTGAATTATGTATGGTCTCATGCCATTTGTATATACTGCCATTGTATATACTGTATATGTGCCAGGGAACGTGTGGATTTGTATACTCACAGTGTCATTTGAAACTGTGTGTTGATCTGCTGGTTTTTGATTCTTAGAGCTTCTGTGTACTATATTCCTTATTGTTTCTTTTCTTAGCATAGCAGGCATTTTTGTCTCTTTTCTTAAAAAAAAAAAAAAAAAGGGTTGATATATACTTACATATATACCATTCTGCCATTGTTCCTTCTTTAATTTCCTGATCTTCCTCCCACTTCTTTCCTTGTTTGTCCCAGTCTTATTCTCCTACATTTTCAGTGTCTTACCTGGTTGTCTTGTCATCTGCTTCCACTATTTCCATACTGTTCATGTTCTTTTTTTTTTTTTTTTGTTCTATTCATTATGCACTAATAGTAAGGACAGGCTGGTTTATCCTGCTTTCCAGCCTTTTCTTAGACAATCCAAACGCTACCAGGATAGGGAGCAAAAGAATGGGTATATGGATAGGTGCAGGTAGACCCCAAGGGAAAGCCACTGGTTCTAAAGCTATTAGATTAATTAGTTAAGGGTATAAATTCTAACAGAATTTTATTGCAGCCAGGAGGAAGTACTCAGTAAGGTATACATATATGGTATATAAGCATATAATATGTATTACAGAATAAGCTAAGTTGGGAGGGATGCACAGGTATCTCAAAGTCCAACTCTTGACCCTGCACAGGTCACCCCAAGAGTCACACTGTGTACCTAAGAGCATTGTCCTACTGTGTCAAACACTACCTGAACTCTGTCAGTGTTGGTGCTGTGAGCACTTCCTTGGGAGCCTGTTCCAGTGCCCAGCCACCCTCTGGGTGAAGAACCTTATCCAGCCTAAACCTCCCCTGACACAACTTCAGGCCATTCCCTTGGATCCTGTCACTGGGCACTCAGAGAAGAGATCAGGGCCTGCCCCTCCTCTTTCCTTCATGGGGAGGTTGTAACTGCAATGAGGTCTCCCCTCAGTCTCCTCCAGGCTGAACAGACCAAGTGACCTCAGCTGTTCCTCCTATGGCTTCCCCTCAAGGCCCTTCTCCATCTTTGTTGCCCTCCTCTGGATATCTCCAGTAGTTTAATGTCTGATACTGTGGCACCCAGAAGTGCCCCCAGCACTCGAGGTGAGGCCACCCCAGTGCAGAGCAGAGCAGGACAATCCCCTCCCTTGCCCGGCTGGCCATGCTGTCCCTGATGCCCCCAGGACACGCTTGGCCCTCCTGGCTGCCAGGGCACTGCTGGCTCATGTTCAGCTTGCCATGGACCAGAAGCCCAGGGCCCTTTCCATGGCACTGCTGTCCAGCCTCTCGTTCCCCAGTCTGTCTGTACATCCAGGGCTGCCCCATCCCAGGCACATAATTCAGCACTTTCCTTTGCTGAACTCTGTATGGTTGATTATTGCTTAGCCTTCTACTTTGTCAAGATCTTTCTGCAGGGCCTCCCTGCCTTCGAGGGAGTCAGCAGTTCCTCCCACATTTCTATCATCTGGGAACTTGCTTAGTGTCCCTTCCACTCCTGAGTCTAAGTCATTGTCAGGCCACAGGGCTGATGATGGAGCCCTGAGGAATGACCCAGTGAAGTCCCTGGAACAGGTCCCAGGTTCCCAGTCTGATGCATTCACTGTAACCCTTTGTGCCTGACCTATGAGCCACTTGCTGCCCCATCACAGAATGTGTTTATCCAGCTCTGGGCTGGACATTATATATACTACTTACTTCTATATATACACACTATACATAAAGTATAAGTACTTAGTAAGGTACTTAAGTGTAACTGTTTGATACACTTGTATATTCCCATTCTAAAGTCTGATTTCTCTCTTGAAGTAAAGTGGATTTTTGGAAGAAAGAAACATAGTGTCTGTGAGAATAGAGATTTGAGTCTAACTTCCAGTTTTTAAATAGTCTGATACTGCTTTTGGATCTCTGATAAAAAGATCCATGTGTAAATCTCCAAATTTCAGAAAATAGCATCTACATTTACTTTGATTCTGTCAAATTGCTACCATTACCCAAAAGTATCAACCAGAACAGCTACCTATCATGAAAGAACTGTCAGTATTGATCACTTTTTTCTTTCATTACAGCTCCTGTGAAGAATCTTAGAACATTACCTAAAGATGACAAGTTGTGGGTAGGGTGGACTGCTCCTAACAGTTATGTTCTTAAATATGTGATCGAATGGTGTCTGGTGTCCAGCAGCTCAGACTGCATCATAGAATGGCAGATTGCACTAGGAGATGTTCAAGGAATTGACTTAAAAGGTATTTAGCTCATAAATCTATATATTGTTTGTAGGACACTCTAAAAACCTGCTTAGTGTTCAGAAGATGAGAAACATTTTCACAGTGATTAGAATTTTATGGTAGAACAGGGGTTTAATGCTGAGGGTTTCAATTAGTTTATTCAGAGTGTATGGAAGTATTTGAATGTGTTTGTCAAATATACAGCTGTATCTGATCTTGAATTTTGAAATTTATATAATGTGACAAGAGGTTTATCTCCATTTTGGCTTTAGTACTGTCATTCTTGGAAACCATTAAAATAATGAAAAGGCTGAGTTCTTTTAAAATCAAATTCTTTGATTACTCAATTCAAACAGTGAAACTTGATCAGCTTTATTCTTTTGAGATTATGATCAGCATCTGAAATTAATAATTTGGGGACTTAATACTACAGATAAATAAAGGCTTTCTATTTAAAATAAATTTTTAAAAAAACCCTGACTTCTCTAAAGTCTACTTTTTAAATTTTACATTTGAATGTGAACCATTATATTGTTCCTTTTGAAGCAGTATTTTTCCTTTAATTAATATTTTGGAGAAGTGTATCAGTGAGCTCTAGAAAATACTCAGCTGCATTAGGTACAAATCCTAGTTAGACAGTGGTCCTAGTTAAACAGCAAAAACTCAGAAGCCTGTATCTGAAGTAAATGAAAAGAATAGTGAGGAATTTGACTGTCTGTGAAACACCACCTTTTAAATTCCTTTTATTAGGTATATATTTATTTTTTATTCCTTTTATTAGGTATAAAGCCTTTCAAGTGTTACTTGATAACTGTGTACCCTCTGTATGCTGATGGTCAGGGAAGTGGACAGTCTGTGAAGGCTTATCTCAAGCAAGATCGTAAGTATAAAATCATCACCGTGAAGCACATACACTGACCCTTTTTGACAAAAAATGAAGAAACCTTTGCTTTAATGTGGACTGTGTAATGAAAAATGGTTTAGTACTTGGAAGTCAGGTGACATTGATCTTTTCCCATCTATTATCATCCATTCTGCTTTTTTAGTGTTTGGGAGCTAGACAGATGGTTGACTATGGCTGGCTCTTTATTTTTCCAACCTTGATCAGATAATTAGACATGAATTTGTTATTCTAATGATATATTTGTTATGTATATATAATATATTTATTATTTATAATAGCAATATTTATATGCTGGTCTATTTTAAATTTCAAGTGTACAATCAAGACTTAACTTCATTTGAAGGTTTCCCACAACATGCTGATTTTTCTTTTTATATGTATTTCTGAGTGTTTCTTTTTTAAAACATCTTTGTAGTTTTTATGTTATTTGAAACAGTGTTTTCTAGAGGAGGTAGTCAAACTATTCTGTTGAAGCTTTTATGCTGTTACAGTTCAGTGCTTGTTAGTATGTTGTTTCTGTGAATGCAAGGTTGCCAAGCAGAAACTAATCTTCTTCTCCCATTACAGGTCCTTCAAAAGGACCTACTGTTCAGACAAAAAAAGTAGGCAAAGCTGAAGCTGTTTTGACGTGGAACCATCTAACAGTTGAGGAACAAAATGGATTTATCCGAAATTACACTATACTTTACAAAACTATTGATGGAAATGAAACAGGTACTAGAAAACCTTGTTTGAAAAGTGTTTTGGGGCATTGAAATGTTTCATCTGTCTCCTTCCTAATATTTGTTCCTGAAAAAATATGCAGAATCAGTTATAGCTGACAGTCTGTTCTGAGAATGTAAAGCAGGTGTCTGAGCCATAATTCTCCTCCATACAGAGCAGAAAATCCCTAGTAAAGAATTCAGAGCATTCAGTCTGTGCATAGCAGGGTACTGAGTTTAGTTTCTGAAAGCTGATTTGTGAATATTGTGCTCCCATATTGCTATCTATACAGAATGAAATGATGGTATATCAAGATGATGGCAGACCATTCAAGATACAAAAGGAGTTGACTGCATTTAACTATGATAAAACCTTAAGAAAAGGAAGTGGGGAGGAGTTTTTTAATCCTTCTGGAGCTGTAGATCAGTATATTACTGATGTAAATCATCTTGTTTGACGTGCATCTTAGTTTTCAGTAATACGTATGACCTGCAGGCATACTACAGGCAGCTGGCACTATCAAAATTTTAATTTTTAGTTTTGCTTAAATTGGAAGGGCCAGGTACTTACGCATACCTATGTCTTACTAGTCCTTACCTTGATTTTTTTTTATCTAGTCAGTACTAGCAGTTCCTCATTAGGACTATGTCTAGTAAGCCAAATACAGACTTTAAGCCTCAGTTATACTACTGGTTTAGTTTGTAGATGCATTCTGGGGAAAAAAAATTCACAGGAAATTAAATACAGAGGGAGACTAAATTCAGACACAGAAACAAATGAATCTCAGTGTTTCTTGTACCAGTTTGTAGTCTTTGACTGTTGTATTTTCCATCTGCTACATGTTCCGTTAAAACTATCTTTCACATCTGAAGTCTTGATGTCTTAATGTTGCTGGTTTTGTGGAGATGCAGTTTGTTTGTAGTTTGTAGAAAGCTAGTATAAATTTCTTCCTCTCTTTAGTTGTGACAGTGGATCCTTCCAAGACAGAGTACACCCTTTCCTCTCTAACGAGTGACACACTGTATACTGTGCGGATGATGGCATCCACAGATAATGGAAGCAGGACCGGTCCTGATTTCACATTTACTACACAAAAATTTGGTAAGACAGAGTGGCACAGTTGGTAGAAGTAGGAATTAATGTTGCAGCAGTACAGCAGGGCTCTGTGAAAGATGTGTTAGAAGGGAAGGTGTTTTTATTTTCAAGTTTCAGTTACAGTCAACTTGCAATGTTCATAATACCTGGGTGGTTTGTCTAGTGTTCTTTCACTAAGAGGTAGTTTAGTCAGGATTTTTCTGATTATATAGAGAACAAGATATCCTCTGCAAATCTCATGAATTGAACTTCTTATGTTATTAATGGATGTGTTTTATGTGTACTTCAGGTTATAATGTTTTGCCTTGACCTTCATGACCAGTCATTAGAATTTACCTAGTGCTCTTGTCTCTTTTTGTGTCCAATGGCATCTACCCCTAGTCAGAGTCTTTGTTTTAATCCTGATAAAGTGTGCTGAAGAAGCTGCAGAGATGTGTGCTTGTATCTTAATCTGCTGATGTAGGCACCAGTCAGCATATATCATTCTCAGAGCCCTTTCACGTTCTTTCATATCACTATGAAAGTTTTCTGCAGTTCTTTACAGAGACTCATTTTGAATAGTTAAATTTGTTGTGTGTTCAGCTTTAGAGTGCTTCTTATATATAAGGCTAACAGCAGCATTACTGACTGAATTTAATTGTGAAAGACATGTACTTAAATTTAGTGGAGGGTTTTTTTCTGTTGCTCTTCCCCTTAGCATTCTCCAAGGTTTACTTAAGAATGTGTGTAACGTTGGAAGGAATACATAACAATAATGCAAACTTTGGTGTTTGCAGGCAGAGGAGATCTTCGTGTACAGAATAAACTGATGGATGAGTAGTGGTGTTGTTTACTTTACTTCTTCGACCATGACTGTGTTATAAGAGCTGCTGGGGCACTGAAATACTGGGGCAGCAGATGGATTGGCAAAGATGTTACTGTAATACCGGCCCAAGCTACAAAATTATTTGCTCTGTCAGTATTACAGCTTCTAGATCAGCTCATGTTTTTTGTCGATGCAAGGCACTAGATTGTCAGGGCAAAAGCTTTTCATGTTTTCACCAGGAGACACTTTTTCATATGGTGAAAAGGTTCTTCTGAATATGAAGCTTTAAGACTGAGCATTGAGGTATTTCAGTGTCAGGTTCTCCCTAACCTTTTGGAAATATGTACTTCTGCTGAGTTCCTTAAGTGCCAAAGTGGGCTATAACTGCCTCTTTTCACCTCCTTCAGGAAAAGGAGAAATTGAAGCCATAGTTGTACCTGTGTGTCTAGCATTCCTGTTGATTGTGCTCCTTGGAGTTTTGTTTTGCTTCAACAAACGTGACCTGTAAGTACAAATGAACTCTTCCTCTTATATTCTGAGCATAACAGAAATGGCGGAATTTATACTAACCCAGTTAAGTGTCCTTCAGTTACAGCAGAAAAAGAAGTTAAAACATGCACATATTGATTGGTGTTAAAAACTTCTGTGTTTTCCATGAGAAACCAGGGCCTCTTCTCATACTAATTTTTGACTATTAATTACACACATACTAAATGTTCTATTATTCAATACTGCAAGAAAATTGCTTTTGTTAGGTTTTGATCAGGATAAACTGTTTTAGTCATCCTGTGAGTGGAGTTATGGTCCCTAGTTTGTGAAGATTTGGAAATATCTTCCTTGTATTTGGGCTGTTTCATTACAGCATTAACAAACGTGAAGCTTTATGACAAAAAAAAATTAGGCAGACATGATCTCCAGTAACTCTGTGCCTGTTTACTGGCTTCTGGGAAGCAGCCTGCCTACTCCCCCACCCCAAAGCTCTTGTCTGTGGCTTTAACCAAGATGTCATTGCTGCAGTGTTTCCCCTGGCAAGGTGTAACACCCCTCTTATGTCCCCTGCTAAGTATCCTTTGTTTTTTATTAAAGACAGCATTTAATTTCTTTTGACCTCCCTGCTGCTCCTAAAATTAGTTCTTAATGGATGTCAGTTGGAAAGCCTATCTTGAATTGTTCTTCGGAGTTCTCCTTCAGAGGATCTGTTGTTGGATCTGTTTATAAAGAGCAGGATGGGTGCATCAGTTTCAAAGCTGGTTTGGTTGGGGGTGATGTATCAACAGAAGCTTCTGGTTTTAAGTAACATTACATTCTTAAGAGTTACAAAGCAGGTTTTCTTCCAAATTTTTTTAATTTTTATTTGTGAAGTTAGCTTAGATTTTGACCTTTGGTATTCATAGTTACATTAAAAAGAAGCAGGATTGTATTTTCATACTGTCATGCATCATAAACTACCTAAGTAATAGCTCTGTACATTCTAGAGTGCTATAAATTTGAAAATCTCTTGCTGTTACCATTTGTTGTTTTGTGTTACATTGATAGCTGCATCTAATGTGTGGAGGAGTTAAGTGCAATGTGTTTAAGAGCTGTGTTTTGCTAAGTAGTACAGCCTCATACAAAGATGAAAAGTAACCCAGACAGCATTCTTAATTGGCATAAAAAAATTCTGTGTAGGGAGTGGTGTTCTGGATTCTGCTGTACTTGCTATGAACAGGGAATTTGGGGAGTGCATCTTGTGACTTTATTCCATTTTTAATCCTTTACAGAATTAAAAAACATATCTGGCCTATCGTACCTGATCCATCCAAGAGTAACATTGCTCAGTGGTCTCCTCAAGTTCCACCTAAGGTAATACTTACCTTTCTGCATCCTGTATCTTCCTAGTCTGCAAGGTTTCAGATTAAATGACCAGTGGGAGTCTTCTGTCTTCTAGCAGACATGGATTTCAAGGAAAAACCTGAATATTAAGTTTCACTGACATTGTGATACAATAGGGTTAGAAAACTTCATTGTGTCTGTAGATTCAGCATTAGATGTACATGGCTCTTAGCAAAAATTCACAGTCTAGCATGGGCTTTACTGTTGTAAGTTAGTTACAGTTTACTAGTTGGAATGGTCAAGTACTCATTTCTTTGCTCATTCATGGGAAATCAGCATTAAGTAAACAACTCATGATTCCCATTCTTAAAACCCTGAAGTGGCTTATTTGCACAGTTCAGTCATGAGTGAGAGAGAAGACTATAAACAGTTCCTCATGAATGAGAAGATGGCAGCAAAATTTATGCCAAATGTGAGATGAATGACCAGGCAAACTGTTCAATACACTGTGGCTAATTTCTTTGAAGAAATATTCTGATGTTGAGTACATGATTTGAAGTAATGTATGGTTCTCAGTATAGAATGTTCCTGTGCTGCACAGCAAGTGCTTCTGTCTTTACAGTTCTTAAGAAAAATTAAAATGAGAGCAAAGACTTGCTCACATATCCACTATAATTTTAGAATGGCTGCATAATTAAGACTCTGTATTGGAAACAAAGCTGCATCCTTCATTTTTTAACACATGCTTTGGATATATTGCCAGACTTAGTGAAGAGAGAACTTACATTAAGGAATTCAAAGACATTATGAGTAAAAATTCATAGATTTATTGAGACTTCTGATATGTAACATAAGCTTCCTCTTAGGCAACATACATCTCTTTCTTTCAGCATAACTTCAGTTCCAAAGATCAGATGTACCCAGAAGGCAGCTTTACAGATGTAAGCGTTGTAGAAATAGAAGCTGATGACAAGAAGTCTTTTTCAGAACAAGATCTAAAACCCTTTGACTTGCTTAAAAAAGAAAAAAGTACTTCAGAAGGACACAGCAGTGGTATTGGAGGATCCTCGTGCATGTCTTCTCCTAGGCAGAGCGTCTCTGACAGCGATGAAGGTGAAACAACACAGAACACTTCAAGCACTGTACAGTATTCAACTGTGGTGCTTAATGGCTACAGAGACCAGACACCTGTGCAAGTCTTCTCAAGGTCTGAGTCAACTCAGCCCCTGTTAGATTCAGAAGAGAGATCAGAGGATCATGCTGGAGGAGCTGACAGTACAGCACAGAGGCAGCAGTATTTCAGACAAAATGGTGGTCAGGATGAAACCAACACAGACAGGCCATGCTTTGAAAGAGCAAAGCAGATTACTCATGCTAATGAGGGAGATCTTGTTGGATTTGTTCAACTGCAGATCTCAGGTCAGAGTTCACAGCCATTGGGCCTTGGGATGGAAAAAAATACCCAGGAAGCTGCTGTATCAAATGTTTTACAGACGTGTACTGAAGGACAAACTGTGAGACCTGAAACAGTGGAAGAAAATCCACTTTCAGTTGATGAAATGCCAAAAAGTTACCTCCCACAGACTGTGAGACAAGGGGGCTATATGCCTCAGTGAGAGAAAAGACTGGCTCTGTTTAGGCCTTCATTAGTGCCTGTTCACATCTTCCCCTGTGTTTCTGATAAAGTAAGCTAGGTATTTTTATCTTACTGCAGATAGAGAAACTGAAATTAAGCAAAGAGTCATTTGACAAAATACGATAAGGACTGTTTTTGTGGAAAATTTCCAGTCCAGACCTACTGGAGATTTACTTTTATGCACTACATAAAACCTTACATCTGGATAGCTGAACAAGCCTTTGTGCTACTTTGGGCGTTTTGTATCTCTTCATGACAGAATTTCACACGATTGAAAAGGTCAAGTTTTAAATATCCACATCAGCCAATAGACCTCCCAGAAGAACCACTTCAATGCGTGGCAGTGTACGAGCCTAAAAAGCCAGCTCTAGTTGCACAGTGCAGCTTTGTGCAAAAGTGAGGCTGAAGCTCAGTATTCTGACATGGCAGAATGCTTGTGTGATACACTTTTCAGTAACTTAATTGACTTACTGAATTTTGACTTGGCCCAGTGCCTCAATTTTCAGCTTACCAGACCTGCAAATCATGTTCATCCCTGTTTAAAACCCATAAAAATTAAATAGAACATGCTATGTTGTACAAATAGGAAAACACCAAGATCAGTTGAATCTGAATGCTACTATAGTAACTGATACTTCACCTACACTTAGATATGTGTTCACATGAACTATAGAATAATTTGGCCTAAATGTGCCTTGCAACTTGACGCACAGCAATTCAGTCTCGTGTTCAAAAGTTTGGAAATCAGATGACACCACAGATGAGCAGTTATTTAAAGGCTTTGTACCCCAATCACTGTTTGATGATATAAAACTTCTGCGATCATATATGCCTTTGTTTAATAAGTGCACCTTTGTTGTGTACAGCTCAAGTAACAAGCTGTAAGCTTTTACCATTTTGCTGAGTGCTCAGGAGAAAGGAAATACATACGACCTTCTTCCTGACAGACTGCAGCTATTAGTGTGCTGTAACCTCACTACTAATACTGCAGGACATCCTTGAAACTGAAAGCAGCCAAAGCATTGAAGTCATTGGTGCTCTTGGAACTAAAACCAAAACCTATACTCTGAATTTGAACTTTGCAGGTAGTACACCTCTGTTAGTAATCATGAGCCACAAAACACACTTAAGTGGCTGTTAAAATTCTTTACTTTTTTCTTAATGTCTCGCTCTTTCCCTGCTCACACAGTTTATATTTTTTTGAGGAAGCTACATTTCTTGGAAACTTCCTCTACCAGTGTTTAAATGAAAATTAAATTACAGGACAATAAACCCCTTCTCCAGTGATAACCAGTAATTTTATGGCACTCTTAAAGATGGGTTTTTTTTAATTAATTCGGATCTAATATAGGCTAGTCAGCTTTCTAATCTGACACTAACAAAAATGTATTTCAAAACACTAAATGCTGTTTGGTGAGACTAAAACAAGTGTTTTATTTCTCCTTCAGCAAAATAACTGTATTTAAGACCACCTGAAACCTTTTGTGCTGTGACCTCTGGTACTGCTGTTCTGCAGAGCACTTGCTAAAAGCCTGTGTCAGTATCATTTCATCTTCCCTTGTCTGCCAGCTTGCATGGAAGGATGGGTGTACATGTAAATGTCCACATGTGTCTTATGCTTTTGTTATGAAGAAATTAAGTGCAAGAGTAAATTTGTGAGATTACCTCTTGAAGTTTGGAATATTTAAAACAGATAAAGAATGCAGAGTCTTTAATAACATTTCAGTATTCCGCAGTTCCTTTCTCTTGACAGTATTTTCCTGTATCTAGGCACTTTTTTCTTTTAATTAAAAGGCTGCATTGCAGCTTACTATAATTACACCTTTCTTCAGACCAGTCCTCTTCCTTTTCACCCCCCTGCACCTCAGCACCTTTAAACTCCCTCCCAGAGGGCAAAGGTGTTAATGAAAACTGCTGCCATGAGACAGCAGAGAGACCATCTTTCATTTTTCAGAGGTTGAAAGAGCATTCCTTTTTTGGAACACCTTCCTCTTGGAAAAAATGGCAGTTCCTTTAATGGGGGATGAGTTATCTTCTCTATGCAAAATTCACAGTGACTGTAGAAACCACAAGTAAAAGGGAAAGTCTCTGTTGAGCAGTGTGCATGCTTATTAAAACTGCCTAGCAGCCACATGCATTCAATCCCTCCTCTCATCTCTGAAGTATTATAGGCCACTACCTGGCTATGTAATTGTCTTGATTTAGGGCAGATTTGGGAGGAAACTTCCAGAGGGATCCCTCTAGAAAGCAAATTCAAGTGGCCCCTCTCCCTACTGATTTGGGAAAAGAGTTCCTTGGAGAAAAATGGAAAAAAAATCCTGTTTATTTAACAGGCAAAGTATTCACAAGCATTAAAAAAAAAAAATATATTAAACACTAAGACCTCTCAGTGTTCTGAAGAGATGGCAAATCAGAAAGTCCTTGTCGTGGGGTGTACCTTGGCTTGCTCATCTCTTATCAGTCCCTCCTGTGCTGGACAGTGCCTTGTCCTGGTTCCCAACAGGCCACAGGTGTGAGCTCCCAGTGTTTTTCTGGGTTTTCAGTCCAGAGCAGGGCTGAACAGCTCCAAGAAAAAGAAAAGCCAGAGTCCAGAAGTTCTCTGCCTCAGCCAGCTAAAAACGAACTAAAAGCAAAGGAGAGCTTCCTCCACTGTCCGCGCTGCAGACAGCGCAGTCTGTGAGGAGGATGCGGGGAGCAAGGGCAGTCCCTGAGAACAAACTCTGTGCTTCTTCTCCCCCCTCAGCTCTCAGAACCAGTCCTAAAGGTGCAGAACCTAATACCCAGCAAAATAGAGCAGATGAATGGGGATACAAGCAGCATAGAGTCACCCTAGGACAGTAGTCTAAACAGTGCTGCAAAGGTCTCGATGTTTTCAAAAGCGTGTTGATGATTTTTTTAAAATATGTTTTTGTGATTCAGTAGTACTAACTTTTGATAGCATATGTTATTTGAGGGAGAATGTCAGGTAGTTCTTAAGTTGCTACTTGCCTTTCTGTAAAGGGAAAACATTTTCTTCTCAGTTGATGTTAATCATGGACCACTCAAAACTTAACTACTGCTGAACAGCAGCAAGAGATTCTGATTTTTCAAATCTGTGCTAACAAGAGTTCTAGCCTGTCATTTCTGACATCTTTCATTGCTGTTTATGGGCCAGTGGTAATGAACTCAAAGAACTGAGTGGGTCCTTGAGAACGTTCTGGCTGGCTGGCAGTGACATGCTCTCTTTTGAGACAGAGCAATTATTTAGGGCTAAAATACTAAAGACTAAGCAGGAGCTTCTAGTGGGTGAACAGCTTGTAGAAGCCACAATACATATAAATAACAGGTATACAGCTAGTTCATAAGCCTATGTGCCAAATACATTGTGCAGTGTTCAGGGTTTAACAAGATTTTGTACTCTGGACTGCAAAAATCTAAGTGTATCAAACAGTTGCATACAGTGTTTAAGAGTATCTGCAGTTTAATTATAGCAATCCACTGAAATTTTCTGAGCTTGGCCCTAACACAGTAACTCAAGAAAAAGTTTTCTCCCTCCTCCACCTCCCCTCCCCCCTTTACCAATGGCTACTGGTGCACGTAACAAAATAAAGGCATTATTAAAGTCACATTTCAGTACAGACACTTTCATGTCCATCTTGATTTCCTGGACTGGAATTTTTCAGGTACAGGTGGAAGATGAGTTGTAAGGACTGTTAATTTGGTGGTGGGAAGGGAGGCTAGTAGAAATATATCAGCATATTTGAAAAACCTCTTAAATGCAGGGTGGTTAATGCTCCTCTGTTTGCAAAAGAAGTGAATATATAACCTTTGTAGTTCTATTGTGGTGGTTCTGTTAGACCAGGAGATGATTGGTATTGTTTTCTGGAGTGTTGGCTCACTTTAAGGGCAGATAGTCTAGGAGTATCCTCTCCTGCTGTAGTGAAAATCTTGGGATTGCTTCATACATGCTATTATAGAAAATTAGGCTGCCTTTTACGCCTGAAGGTGACAGTACAAGCACAGCAGAGGAAAACTTTAAACTTTTTAAACTTTGCTCTGGAGAGTTTATGACAAGTATGTGCTTGTCTGGTACACAAGGGTAGCAAAAGCTGGAAAAAACCTTGGCCCTGGGAGGATGAGGGAGTTTGCATGCTAGGGCTGAGTCCCATTCTTGGGTTCTGGAGAAGTCCCGTAACCTGGGTGGGAGCTTCAGCTTTGTAAATCGTGAGCTCTGTCAGGTGGTTAAAGCATATATCATGTATGCTTTTAACCAGTATGCCTGGTAGGTGGGGTCACCACTGCTCATTTACGTTAAGTAATAGTTTAATTTAGAGACAGGTCGTCAGTGTATGCTGCAATGGAATTGACTTCTCAGTGGGATCTGAAACTCCGAAGACTGTCAGATTGTTAATAGTCTGCCCCACTCCAGGGCAAAGACATTTTGCATTGTAATTTATATGCATTAAATGGAACTAAATACACTAGTTTATTTTTCCCGTTAGACAGTGGTTGTAGTTGAGATTAGATGTTATTTGAGTGCATTCCTTTAACTGGGTTAAAAAGCTCTCTTGACTGAGACTGTAAGAGTTCCTTAATCCCCATAACCTCTTGTCTGTCTGCAAGGATGGATACATATAGTCGTTTTAAATTCCAGGAGTTGCTTATAATATTATACAGGAGAAGTTTATATAAAAATGTTGAGTCTTCTGTCATGAAACAGCTGTTAGGGAGTTGCAGCCAACCTGAGTCTTCAGCTTTGCTTTTGATCCAGAAAAGTGGAGGTAAAAATGCAAAAATCTGGAGGAGGTTAAAATTAAGTACCTTGTATTGGATTCATGAATTTACATTTCTCTTCCTTCAAAGTGAAAGCATCAGTAAAACAAACAAAAAAAAAACCCCGTAAAAATCATGTGAATTTGCTTTCATTGTTGTTTCCTTTGTAGGATTTGTGCAATCTGAGCCATTCTTGAAAATAAAAGCAGTGCTGAGTTAATGCACAAGGATGCATTTCTAAGGCCACAAGATTTGATTAAAAAAACCCTAAAGATAATAATGAAGGGCCATATTTCAACAATTGTCTGCTTCCCTGCCTCTTAACTATAGTGCAGAGAGAGGGTGGGCAGCAAGTACCTCCCAGAATGCAGCCTTAGCCAGTACTTGTATTTATTTGCAAAGACAACCTGAAGGGGATATATGCAATAATGTCATTGCTACTCTGCAGAAGCACACTTCTGTAACAATAGATGAAAAATACTTATGGCACAACTGTTGACTGATGGCTGGAAAGCTCCACATCCACATCCTCCTGCTCAGACTGAAGTGTCAGCTGTTCTTCTCTGGGGATCACAGGCGTGGCAGATGGGCATTCTCTGCAGTGTGAAACTGTTAACACCTATCACTTTTCATCATCAAAGCACATTTGTTAATGGATCCAGTCAACTTGCCGTGTTTTTTTTAACACACCAGTTTTGTTTACGGTGTCACATCTAGCCTGACACTTTGATACAGCCAGGGATTGTCTAGTAACCAATTGCTTTTATTTGGGGATAAGAAGTTACTGGTCACCCAGTTTGCTGTGCCAATATATGCATCTAGGTGAGTGGAGGTGTGGGACACAGGAACAGATGTACCAACAAGGAAAGTGCCTTGATGCTGGATTGGATGGCTAGTGAATGTAAACATTAAGTTAAATTTTGCTATGTACTTAAACTAAGTATGGCCGATTAAGCTAGTGGTAATTTGAATGCCAGCTTTAAAGGGCTTGCATACTCCGGCCAGAGGTTAAACTTGTAAATTGCTGCATAAGCTGTCTCTGTATGGAAATGTGTTTTAATACCTGTTCACTGTCTTTATTCTTTTGCAAGCTGCATGTGTATTGTCATATAAAATCTGCTTTCTACAATTTATTTTGATGGTCAGTTTTGAATGGCTTCCTCTTTGTTACTTGACTGAGCCTGAATGTTGCATTTCTGTAGTACATAATATGCAGAAAAAAACAAACCAAAATTCCATATTTACCTTTTGCGCTGGAGTCAGTGTTTTGTAATGCTATCCAAGTAGTAACCAAGAAGAGTCTGGGCCACTGCTTCACACGCAAGAAACAGAGAGACATGACCATGACATTCCTGGATAAAAGGCTACCTCATTGCACCTGTGGCCACGTTTAGCAGCAGGTGAATGGTCTTGAGTCCTGCCTTTGTAATTCCTCCTGGAAACAGAAACAATGCTCTCTACCCACACAGTCTCACTTCCATGAAAGGCATCCCTGACTTGGCTATGTCTGGTATTGCTCTCAGTCTCATCTGGGTTTAGTGCTTTTCTTTCTCATGGGTGGAGGATCTTCACAGATTTATATGTCAGTATTAAAAAGTACTAACATCACAGTACTGAAAAAGCAGAGTTGGGTCTTCAAAGGCTGGTCACTTTCACAAAAGGGGAGAGACTGCTCCCCCTTCCTGGCTGAAGTCCTCATTTGAATAGACAGATTCCTGTAAAGCTGAGGGGGCAGTGGGGTGGGGAAGGGGGGGTTCCATTATATGTCACCAGAAATTATTATTGCCACACAAGAGCCATTCCAGGCGTGTCATGCGTGAGTTAATGCTCTGTGGTGTTACATGCAAAGACTCCTTTTCCAAAATGTTGGTTTACTGCACAGTTGTTCACTGTTTCACATAAGGCCCTTCACTTTTCTACAGAGGCATAGCATTTTTGTGTGTCCTGCTCCCCTGTGCTCGCAGCTGATGAGCATTAGTGCAGTTGGGCTCCACGAGGGGGACAAAGTGTGTGCAGAAGAGGAGGCAGCAGTTTGTCCTTTACAGGCTGCTGCCAGAGCAAGACAGAAAACATGTACTTGGGCACTATACACTCAGAGCTCCAGAAGCAGCTCAGTTCCTGGGAAGGAAGCAGTTCTCCATCCCCATGGCAGAGGCCAGCAGAGTCTGGAGCACAGGAGCAGGAGGTGTGCCTAACCATGTTCTATCTTTGAAGCAGCTAGGTCTGCCCAGCCAGGATTGGCACTGGACTGCAGCACAGCACCTCTGAGAGGTGCACAGGAGCCCTGCCAGCCCTGCCCAGGGCTGGGCGCTGTGGTTGTAGTGCAGCTGGGGGATCTCTGCTTTGTTCTGACCACTGATAATCACAGTAACACTGAACTTCTCTGCAAAGTCATCTTACATGTATTTTCCAGTCATTTGTGCTATTTATGGCAAAGTGATCCAGTGCCTTTCTGACTTCCCAGCAGACTCCATCTGCACAAAATAACTAGCAGAGCCAAAATATTCCTCCGACTCCTACAAAAAATAGCTAGGAAATTCCTGGATCAGCCAAGGGGGCTGAGCACTAGTGACCCAACTGGGAGATGCAGTATGACTTTCCCAATGAGTAATCTGACTCCAGGCTCTCCTGGAAATGGAAGTGTACTATGCAGTAGTGTACTAGGCGTTGCCCTGGCTTTCCTTTTGTGACTCCTGAGTCACACAGCCAGCCTGGGCGCCAAGCTGGGTCAGGGACCAGCAACAGGTTTCAGTGAGAGGACCGCTCTGCAGGAGCCACATAGCTCCAGCAGCTCTCAGCTGGTCCTCTGCTGCTGATGGCACAGCCTGTTGTCCAACTGCAGTGTCATGCAGCGATTCTGGGCACCAGAATCCCAAATAAAGCTCCTCAGAGAATGTCCCGTAGCACTGTGAGTGCCTGGGGCACTCATTACTAGGATGCAGCTGAGCAGGCCCATGCTGGGACCAGCGAGGGAATGCCGTCATGGTGGGGCAGCACCGGGGGGCACAGAGCGCTGCAGATCTGCTGCTCTCGGCAGCACTGCACTGCACTGCACTGCACAGCACTGCACAGCCCCGCACAGCCCCGCACAGCCCCATGCTGGCCTCTCAGGCACTTGTGGCGAGCAGAGCAGCTGCAGCCCGTCCAGCCCGTCCAGCCCTTCCAGCCCGACCAGCCCGTCCAGCCCGTCCAGCCCGTCCAGCCCGACCAGCCCGTCCAGCCCTTCCAGCCCGTCCAGCCCGTCCAGCCCGACCAGCCCGTCCAGCCCACCAGCGCCGTGCCAGGAGAGGGCAGCGCTGCTGCTTGTAACAGCCGGCAGCCTGACTGCTCCAGCACCAGCTCCTGAATGGTTTTAGTATTTCTTTTCTGGCAGTTTAGCAGACCCCTTGGTTTCCTTTCTTCCTGTCCCTTGGTGAGCAAAACCCCTGCTAAGGTTTTCCATCACCCGCAATCCTGAGTCACAAATCCAGGTCATGGGCAGGCTCATCACCTGGCTGTTGCCAATCAGGTCAGTATCCCAGAGCCCACTTGGCACACCATGCCCCGGATGGAGCCTCACAATAGCCGCTCCACATGAAACGGGCCCAATTACCGGTTCCCTGTCCCAGGGGCTGATGGACCTGCTGATAGATGTGCTGGGGTTTGCTGACAGGAAGCCTGTTCTCATGCACTGCTGCCCCTGGATCACTGCCCTGCTCTGCCCAGATAAGTAACCACCACTGACCCAAGTGCTTTGGGAAAAAAAACACGAGGCTCCTGAAGATCATTTCTGGACTAAACTTGTGGCAGCACAGCTTTTCCTGCTTGAACAGATGCAGATTTTTCCCATTTTGAGGAGATGCGTCATTGGCAAAAGAACATGCATGGCTGCTCGTGCACCAAAGACCCCCGCGGACCACGCCACCATGCACACTGCCTCTTTTGGTACTAAGGCAACTTTCCTAAATTGAGTCACTGTAATAAACTGTAAAGCATACCCTGACTATCCTTTATCGTGTATCACACAAAACTTGCTGTGTTCAGCCAGACACCTGAAGAGTGCCTCTCCTTCCCTCCCCACCTTCTTCTCTCAGACACAAGAGCTTGCCAAATGGCCCCAGGGCAATAGCAGATGTCTCCAGAGCCTGCTCAGGGCACAGCTCTTTCAGCACATCCACATTATGCTCCATTTGCTGCATGTGTTTTTACTCCTCTGTCTGCTGATATCTTCCTTAAGTGAAACTATTAACATTCTTGCATGTGGCAGAAAGCCTCTCCATTTTACTTATTTATATAAATTAATTCCATTTAGGTAGATAATGCAGAGATACAAATCTGTAAATGGAAGCAAATTGAATCATTTTATGAGCTTGAAGAATAAGAGATCTTGTATCAGCCTTTAAAATTAGGTTGCCTGTAATGCAGGAAAAAGGTCAGACTCTGTGAAACTGCAGCATGCGGAATAATTTAAATAAAAAATGTCAGCATAGAAGCACCAAAAATAAACAAACACTGACAGAGTAGAAATTCCTTTAAAGGCAGTGAAACTCAGGCTTGGCCACAAAAACTCAACTAAACAGATACCTTGCACAACATGTGGCTCTAGAGAGAAACTCTAGTTAACCCTAACAATAAAGAAAAAATCAGTCTTTACAAAATTTCCCATGACTGACCTCAGTTATGGGAAAAGAACAACCACAAGCTGGAGACAATGCATCCAAGAATTTATCTGAGGAGGTAGCAACAAGAAAAACCGAAGTCACCACAAAACAAGCAGGGTTGTGAGGGATTTACCCCTGTGCACAGCTGTGCTCCTATCTGTATTCGACAGAGCACTGCCAGCTCAGTGCCTAAGGAATGAGCTCCCTTGCCCTACCTTAGATCAGGAACCTGGTCCATATCTACAAAAGAGCAGTCCTGCTAATAAACCCAAGGCTTAGGTAATTTCACAGCAATTTGTTTGGTAGTTTTGCATCAAGACAGGGGGGTCGGGGAAGTGGGAATGTGTGCAGGAAAGGTAAAAAGGGATGGGAGCTAAGGATGGTGTCAACCCCTATTTGAGCCCAAGCAGTTCCTCTCCCTCTCATTGTAGAGCATCAGGAGATGTAATGCACAGCTTATTTCCAGGATTGTCCTTTACTTAATAAAGACAGTACTTACAAACAGAGAACCAGCCCTGTGTGCTGGAAGAAAAGTGAAAAATAGCAAAATCTAAAGTCCTGTGTGTTCTTTTTCACCCAAAATGATTCAACACTCCCCTGCTTCCTTCCTTGCAGATCAGATGTCGGGAAACCTTGTCTGACCCAAGAACTGCAGAAGCCTTTAATCAGAAGTGTAAAACAATTAACAGAAAACAAAAGCAAAAGCAGAAGAGAGATGTAGTCCCTAAAGACAAGCAATAATTCAAGCTTCTTTGTGAGCCAAGCTATAAAACAAAACAAAAAATAGAGACGAAAGCAAATGCATGGATCATGTTTGAAGGATGTGTAAGGTCATGGGAGAGAGAAGCAGGCAGCAAAGGCAGCAAGCCATGAACACAGCTGGGTGTGAGCATTTCTGGGCAGTATGATAGTGTAAAAAATCTTTACGTTCAAAGCAAAAACACCATTCCCCACTGTTCAAACCTTTTTGTGTTCAGAGGATTTAGAAACATATTTTGTAAATTAAAATATCTGTAGCTCATAAACTATTGATGCTGGCATAAATTCCTACACTAAAAGGGAACAAAACATAACCAAACAGCAAAAAGAAAGGAAAACTAAACCCCCTCCCAACTCAAACCCTCTCAGTTAACTTTTTAAGACAGTAACAGAAATACAGCGTAGAGTCCATGTCCAGACTTAGCAGACACTGGCTGTGAGAAGATTCACTGCAGAATCGTGCTGGGCTCACTTGGTATAATAAAGAAACTTCCTACATTAGGACCTTATTTGCCATATTAACATTTTAGAAAGTCTTTTATGCTCTTTTACTTCAGAACAAAGTGTTTGGTTCAGATCAGTGATGGTCTAAGTGTACATCCAGAGCATTAACTGTGATTATAATCTTATGCTCATTGTCTCTGACATCCCTAGATAGTCTTGCATAATATTTCTGTGGTTCTTTGTTAAATTCCATTAGACACACAATTGCTCATGTAGTTGTGAAATTCTGCAGAAATTAGCCTTGGCTAGGCTACTATTACATTCTGAGCAGAGCAATGAGAAACTCAGGAAATATTAGGCTACTTTTCCAAGAAATAAGTACTCAGAAACTTCAGTTGTAT